TTGCGAGTGGAGGTGGAAAGTGATGCGTTTTATTTATATTTATTATTAAAGTTCAGAGATGTAACTTATTTACTTCAGGAGTTTCCCTAAATGAAACCGTGAATATAAACATTACCATGGACATCTTAATGAAGGAATAAACACATTAATGGTGTTTGTTTGCTGATATTCAAACAAATATAAAAATCTATTTTATTTGTATTGTGCAATGTATATTTATAATGTTTTATGCATAGTATACATTTTGAAAAGGGGAAAAACAGTAAATCGTTGTATAAATGCTCTGATGTTTAAATTATATTCCCTGCAAAGCATGTCAAGTTCTTGTGACCATCAGGAAGAACACAGCATCTCATTTCTCACAGGACGCGTTCTCTGCCCTCGCGGTCCTCCCAGTTCGTTCTTCCGAGGACACCTGGCAAGACCGATCTCCACCAGAATGCAAGTCAGTTCTCTGCGTTCTTGAAATTGAGAAACAGACAATATTTTTGTCCTAGAAGTTCATGAAAAACTGCATGTTTAAATATTAGGTCATTCTAATTAGGTCATGCTAATTTGTGTTTTAAGTATTTAAAAAGAAATCTCTTTAACACTATTCACATGTCGTTTTCTTTTAGAGACTGTTTTTGTTAAAACTTTTTTTTTTTCACAGTAACTTCAATCAGTAAGCACTTGAGGCAACAGTACATACAATGCTTAACTCTAGATTTAGATTTCGCATCCTTCCTTGCTCTGCCATTTTGAAATGTCATGTACCATTTTATGAAGCACTGTTGGATCTGACTGTTTTATAATAGAGTGAAATGACAGAGGTTCCATATGCTGTCATAAAACTAATTTAGAGAACCCCCCCCCCCCCCACACACACACACACACACACAAAAACATCTGAGTATACGTTTTACTCCCTCCAAATTCATTTTTGTGCTTTTGTGCTCATCTTTTACCCATATAAAACAAGACAAATCGTGAAACAACAAAACTGGACAGTCTAAGATGAAAGGTGATGCAACATTTTGTGACAAGTTTAATGGTGTAGTTGGTGGATCCCAAGTGGACAAAATTTAAGCCCTGCATATTTTTTTTTTTTTTGCTTTTTTGAAAAGCCACAAATGCTTAAAGGGACAGTTCACCCAGAAATAAAAACTTACTCATCATTTACTCTCCCTCAAGTACTTTCATTTTTAGTTCAACTATTTATTTAATCTGAAAAGAATAAAAAACATTTTATATACAAACTCAAACATAAAGACGTGGAAAGAAATAAGCGACAGAAATCATCATTCACATGTCATTAAAAGATATTGTGTGTGGCATAATAGTCTGCATTGTGGGAACTTTGAACTGAAACTCGTGAATCATTGTATTGACATTTACCAACTGCTGCAGGAAAAAAGCTCTGGAGCCAAAACTACAATATATGACAAACAATACTGTTACATCATTTCATGCAGTCATAATTGCAGCATGACTGACAGGAGGGATTCTCTTTTCTGTTGTAGCTTTGTCTATGAGTGTGTGAACAAAAAGTCGCCTCAGTATCCTCAGGGATTCATCATCACACAACATTTTGTCAAAGCACACATTGAACAAAATGCTTTTTTAAACCCATCCTTGTGTTAAAAACTCTCTCACACAGACTAGTCTGATTTTACAGTGGCTCCTTGTGGCGTTTGCAGAAAAGCTCAGTATCTTTTTGCTTGTTATGGATTAGCATGTCCTCATTAGCACGAGACCCTCCTCAGATTTGATGGGGATTGCATTCTGAAAGCAAGGTCAATTGCACTCTCATTGTCACGAGGCACTTCAACCTTCACCACGGTATATCAGGAAGCCGTTGGCACCATTTTTTATTTCTTTTATGTAGGGCAGTATGTGGGAGATCCAGTCTCCATGGTTTTGCCTTTCTGAAATAAAGAGTCTAAAAACACATGACCACTTCCCAGAATACAGACAGCTTAAAAGCCTGTCACATAGCATAATTATCTATATTATGTATAATTTTCCACAGCAGCAAGGCAAAGTCAGAAACAATGGTTGTTAACCACATGCAGGTGAAGTTTTAAACCCATATTTTTTCCCCCAACATGAATCCAAAAACTATACAGTTATTCATTTCAAATCTCTCGAATGTCCCTCTCTTTCTCAGAAGGAACATGTTTTTGTATTTGGTTCCTTCATAATGGCCTTGTGATGCATTAGATGACGCACATTAGAAAAAGGCTAATAATGCCGTGACCCATTTTCACTCTTTATACCAACTTAACTCGTTTTGTGCGATATTCTAAAGGTGGTTTTACCCTCTTTCCGAGGAACAATGTGAGAACCGTGAATAATGTGCTTTAATAACAGATAAGACTGTTCGATTGCTATCATGAACACTTTAAAGAAGCGAGCTACAATTCCAGAAGAAAGAAATGAAAGGACTGCTAAGATCAGTGGTCGCTTTTAATGACAGGCTATAATAAAAACAAAATCTTGTTTTGCCAGTGTGTTATAAGCTATTGTTGTCTTTCTTTTCAAGGAGTTATATGTTCCTATAATTTTGGAGGAATTTAGATGTAGCCTACATTTGTATCAGTCAGGGGTCTGTCAGTTCAGTCAATCAATCAGTTTATCAAAACCATTATTAGCATCTAAGATCACAAGTTCACATAACATAATTCTGCAACTCTTTTTTTCCAAAATACAGATCAGATTTAAATGATATCAATAGGCCTACAGGCTTCCAAGGAACTGTTCAAGGAAGGTTTGCAATCAGATCTATTCTTATAAATAAATAAAGGTATTAACACAGAAATTCTAATGAATTTTGAAAACTAATAAGGCCTAAATATTGGTTTATTTTTTATCCTAGCCATAACTTATTGACGTTCAAGGATATCTCTCCTTCGCTTTTAATATTGTAGTGCCATCTGCTGGGGATAAACAATAAAAGATTCAACATAACCATGTGTGTTGATATTCTTTTTTAACATCCATCATGGACAAGATCTACTTGTTTTACTCTCCAATTATTGCATTGTATACTATTTGAATATAAATAATAGTCATATTTGACAGAATGATAAATCCATGTTATATTACTTTTTTAAAATTAATAGTATTTACACTATTGTTGCTGATATGATTATTATTGTTGCTATTATTATTAGATTAGTCAGTACAAACAAAATAACAAAATAACATAAGATCACCCATAAAAATTACTACACACCTATGAGTATGTTAGGGGAACAACGTCTAAAAAACATTTTTTTCAAAACATCAAAACATACAAATTACTTGACATTTTGTAGTTTATTTATTTATTTAAACATCTCATTTTAATGTACATGTATAATCTTTCTATTCTTAAAGATGCTGACAACATAACTGAGTGTTTGTTGACAACACTTTTATTTTAATGATTATAACTAATATTATTAATTATAATTAATAAAACTTTTGTATTAAAATATACTATCTATATTCACTGAGAAGTTTGAATAAAGAGAATAGTGAGACATGAACAGTAAAAAAGTTTTTTTCAGTAGAAATTGAGGGAGGCCCATACTGTATGTCACTATGTTATTGTAATTATGTTTGTTTTGCAATAAAGAGGCCCTTTTGTAACCTTTGTGCACTGTTCAAATCCACTTTTGTTATGTTAGAGATGAAAACATCCACTGAATTAAACTGTTGTAAAAATACATCCGATAATTTTTTTTTTCAAAATTTTCTCCCTAATTTACTGTTGGTAGCTGTTTTTGTCCCATTGATTTACAGTATAACCACATTTGACGATATATAAATACACAGTCTTTGTTTTTTTCACTCTATGTAGTTGATAGACTGCTGAGATGCATATTTTGATTTTCTCAGACACATCAAAGTAAATGCACAAAGGTCACTCTCACATACTTAGAGACACACTTTAATTTGTTGTTATACTCCATATAAAATACATAAACTAAGCTTTTTTAGCACAATCCTGTTTAAAGGGTTAATGGTGCCAACTGATGATCCATTTAATTATTCATTTTCTTTTTCGGCTTAGTCCCTTTATAAATCTGGAGTCACCACAGTGGAATAAAACACCAACTTATCCAGCATATGTTTTATGTAGCAGATGCCCTTCCAGCTGCAACCCATCACTGGGAAACATCCATACACATTCATACACTAGGACAATTTAGCTTACCCGATCGTGCTACCCACTGCGCCACCATGACTTCCCAAATAATGATCAAAAATTACAAATTGTACCTCTTCCCAACAAACCACCAACAAACTAAAATGCATGATTATATGGTGTCATGGTTTTTGTTATCTAAAAATGTGATTATAATGAGTCAATGTATGGCAAAAACAGCCACCAACAGTAAATTAGGAAAAAAAATGAAAATGAATCAAAAACAAAGCATCAAAGGCAATGTTGTTTCACATGTCCAAGACTTTGATAAAAGATTTTTAAAAATCCAGGACACAATTACATTTTATATTGATAATATGTTATTTTGTGTGTCTTTTTCACCAAATTAGTTACATCATTTAGAAATCTGGCTATTAAAGAGATAAAATTCTTTAATTTTCAAAACAAGTTGGTAGTTTTGATCAGGACTAAGGTTGATTAAAAGATTTATGCAAAAGAAATGTAAAAAAAAAATAATTTGATGCAATTTTAATTCAGTGGAAAGGGTAGTAATCTGCAAAATGCAAAGAGTGTATCGTTGAGTTTTAAAAAAAAATTCAAAGCATTTTCTCAAATTATGTGTAATGTGTCAAAAACATCGTAAAACAATGTGGGGTATGTTCCTAACAATTATTTTAAGATGATATAAATCAATAGCAAACTCTGATAAATTTAATACAAGCAGCTTTTCCAGGCTATAAATCAGTTTCCCTTTAAGATTTCTCTTTATTTAATATAAATATGTGCAGTTTATTCAGATCCAGATCCACTGGACTCCTCCCATTGGCCTCAAAGCTATAAATGAAACATCAGCAGTGCCATCAACACAGCCTAAGAGGCAAAGACTGTAAAACTATGAAGAAACTTGGCATGATTATCTTCATTACATTGCTTGCACTTTTTGCAGGGAATGGTAGGAGATTTGGGCTTTGGGTTTTGATTGAGTGTTTGTTTGTGCATAATGAACAATTAATATGAATTAAGAAAACCAAGTCTGTATTTTTTTAACCAGTTGCAGTATTAACATGGTAAATACTAACATGTTTAACATTTAAATACACAACAGTACTTTAGTCATTTTGTTTACAAATTTTTTAGTGCATAATGCTGAAGTACAGATTCAGAATTGGACGTGTGGGTACGGAGGACTCTGTCGGCGCTTCTGTTTTGATCAAGAATATATTGTTGCTCACCATGGTTGTCCAAGAAGATACAGGTATGTTAATACAAAACAACAATAAATATGTATATATAGAACATTTTTTATACAAAAATATTTTTTTAAATTATATATAATTATATATATATATATATATATATATATATATATATATATATATATATATATATATATATATATATATATATATATATATGTGTGTGTGTGTGTGTGTGTGTGTGTGTGTGTGTGTATGAATATATATATATATATATACAGTTGAAGTCAGAATTATTAGCCCCCCTGAATTATTATCGCCCCTGCTTATTTTTTTGGCTGATTTCTGTTCTGTTCTGGAAAGATTGTTTCAGCACATTCTAAGCATAACAGTTTTAAAAACTTATTTCTAATAACTGATTTATTTTATCTTTTCCTTGATGACAGTAAATAATATTTGACTAGATATTTTTCAAGACCCTTCTATACAGCTTAAAGTGACATTAAAAGGCTTTACTAGGTTAATAAGGTGAACTAGGCAGGTTAGGGTAATTAGTCAAGTTATTGTATAACGATGGTTTGTTCTGTAGATTATCGGAAAAAAAATAATTTTGTCCCAAAAAAGTTTAAAAAAAAATTAATAACTGCTTTTATTCAAGCCGAAATAAAACAAATAAGACTTTCTCCAGAAGAAAAAATATTATCAGACATACTGTAAAAATTTCATTGTTCTGTTAAAAATCATTTGGGAAATATTTAAAAAAGTAAATAAAAATCAAAAGGGGGCTAATAGTTCTGACTTTAACTATATATATATATATATATATATATATATATATATATATATATATATATATATATATATATATATATATATATAGACACACACACACACACTTTCAGTAGTTCAATAATTTCCAGTTTAGTTTTCAATTTGTTTGTTAAAGAAGCCTCTTATGCTCTTTAAAATGCTTTAGTTTTGTTTCTTAATGTAAATGCTGTAAAAACTTAAATATTGTGAAATTTTTATAAAATTATAAATATGTTTTTTAACATATTACAAAATCTAAATGTATTCATTTGACTCCAAAGCTGAATTTATCATCATGCCTCATGATCCCTCAGAGGCTTGGGTCACATAACAACAACAATGATAATAATAATAATAATAATAATAATAATAATAATAATAATAATAATAATAATAATAATAATAATAATAATAATAGTAAATCAATGTTAAAAATAGCTTTTTTTGTGGAAACCTTTTACCCCTCAGGATCATCTCATGAGCAAAAAACAATAAATAAATAAATAAATAACAGCATTTACTAAATTATACACCTTTTTTTCATCATATCTCATCATTCCTAACAATGGTTTATCTATTATTTACAGATGCTGTGCTGTGCGGTTTTAGCGAAAATTGATTGGCTTAAAAGGACATCATCAGAAGAATGACATTATAGTCCAATATGTTTATTTAGATGTCGCTATTTATCTTTATTCATTGTTAATATTGGGGGAAATATATCAAAGAATTCTTTCAAAGAAATGAAAAAGAGTGTACTTGTACAATAATGTCCTAAGTGATTAATCCGAAACATGTGAGATTCAAAATACAAAGCAAATGAAGTAATGAGGTGTGGGACAGCGCAGATACACAAGGGCACAGTATTTTAGCATAAAACATAAAGCTGATGGGCCTGCTAAAGCATGTCACCGTTGTAAATCCTGGATTACAATTAATACATGGTTCTTTTTCACGAGAGGCATGCCACACATTTCCAACATTAACTCTATTCAGTCTGTGTTTATGAAAGTCAAAGGATGGTCTGGTTTAAGTGAAGCCGGCTTTGCTCTGCATTGTAAATCCACTAGACAATAACACGTCCAATGAAGAGTCTGACCTAAATAGCTGTTGTGGAATGCTGCTTTTGTAAATGAAATGTTAGCCAACTGCTTTTACTCATGTCGTCAATCCCAAACTTTTTTGTTTTAGTTATTTACTTTCTTTTCTTTAAAAGACACAATAAACCGGGATCTGTGGTTTACAACTAGTCAGTTGTCATTTACTATGCGCTCAAATATGTTGTTATCTGACACAATACACATTTAACATTGTGCTTATATTATAAGCAAGGTCAAAAAGATCATAACTGGAGTGGCATTCTTAAGAAAGGCACTAAAATGATGCACTTAGATACTAATATGCACCTTTAAGGTAAAACAAAATGAATACCCAGGGCTCTAGATCAGGAGTGCTGCAGACTTCAGCTGCAACCTTGATCAAACACACCTGTCTTTAATTAGCAAGTGCATGTTCAGATTCAATTGGTTTAGTGGTGTTTGGAGTTGGAGCTAAACTTTGCTGGAAGGTAGATCTTCAGAAATTAGGTTGAGCACTTCTGCTCTAGATGATACACAAAGGTCTTAAGAAGCAAAATAATTGATCTGTGCAATAAACTGCACATATCATTAATCCACAGCCTCAGGCAAAAAGCCCTCCAGGTGCTTCAGGACAATTAACTACACAGCAAATTCTGGTCTTTGGAATAAACTCCCTGGGATTCAAAATCAACTCAATCTGAGTGTACATGCGTGACCATCAAATGTACTCCCATTCAGAGTTAAAATCACTCTGCTTTTGGAGTTGAATTTTAACACATTTTTTGAGTTAGATTATAACACTTTCTGGAGTTAAAATTGTAATCCTACAGAGAGTACTTTTACATTTGGGTATAATATAAACTCCTTACCAATGTTAAAATGTAACACTTTTTAGAGTTAAAGTGTACTTCAAACAAATATATATATATATATATATATATATATATATATATATATATATATATATATATATATATATATATATATATATATATAGATGAAAATGACTGAACTGATGCAATACTCTTTACTTACTGCTTTTATTCATGCAAATCCACACATTAGATTTAGAATTTCCATCGATGTACACACTTTGAAATTAATTGTCATCAAAGCATTAAATCTAACAGCACAACATTTACAATCAATATATGTTAGCAGCTAGTGCCAACTAAAACCAATGGCTTAGTAAAATTGCATGAGACAATCAACACATTACATTATATAAAATTAACTTCACAGGAATCAAAAGCAGCAAAAAAAATATCTTGTCACACTCCTCAATTACAGTCAACTCTGCTGGCTTTGAAGTTAGAATTTGCTCGATTTTCTGAAACGAAGAAAAAAAAGTATTTAGAAAGATAACCAAAATTAATATTTTTTTAACAAAAAAAACTAAATCTAATAACTGTGTTTATACTATTTTTTACTTTAAAATGCATTCATTTTGTAACGTTATTTTGTAATGTTTATGGTATAATTTCTATGTATATGGAAGTTTAAAAAAAACTTACATTTTTTTGGACACTGCCCATTAAAGGTTGAATAATTTGAGATCCAGAATCACTGCTACTCAAACTGCTTGACACAGACAATGTATCTGTCATACTTGGGGAGGAGGGCACTTTAACAGCCCCTTGCTGCAAGACAGTCAAATCTGATGAAAAAACATCAACAACACGTGTCAGTAAATGGTTCTGAAATGCACACTTTCACTCTGAGTCATGAGACCAACTTTCAAAATCTATAAAAATGTTCTTAAATAACCTACCATCATTAGTGTGGATGACATGTTTCTTTGGTTGTTGCAAGTTCTTGAAATACATCCTCATCCACCTCTATGCCATGGTCATCTGTGACTTTCGATGCTGTATCCTCTGGTATCACAAACTTGTGCTGGACTACAACATAACAACAATGTATAATTTATCAAATAAATTTCAAAATGACTGTTATTATTATTATAATTAAAAAAAAAAAACTCTGTTACACTAAAACTCACCCACACTGAAAAAATCTAAGAAACAATCTTCTTCCAGTTTAATATATTTTTTCTTGCCTCCAAATTGCACTTTTATCAGCATGGTGGCCTGAAATAAAAAAGATAAATGTTATTTAACAACTTATGTTAGTGTGATTGAAAATGTAATGTAAATATCGCTGAAAACAGCATACTCTCACGGTCACGACTAAATCATGATACAATCCAAAACATTTCATGAGCAATATTACACATATTAAATCTTACAGACATAAAGCTCTATTGCTGGATAAAAAATATTGACATTACCTCGTTGTGTAAGTTAGCCTATTTGAAATGTGAACAGCAGGTTTCTCCATCTGATCAAGTAGGCCTACCACTTCTTTTTGACAGCAGAACACACATTTTTAAAAACACAGGGGAAGAAAAGATTATTAGCTAGTGTTAGCTTGTTCACATCCACAACATTTTTTAAAAAACTGCACAAAACAGCCACATTGGAAAAGCTAACATGCTATGCTAAGTTAGCCACATACAGTCACTAGCCTCACAGTACAAAATGAAACAGCTACAGCAAAACACACTTCTGCTACAAAACATCCAACATTTAGAAAAAGCTTTTAGAATTGTATAACAATGCACTTTTACCTACCTCACAAATAAGATCATAACTCCAGTTCTCATGTGCTGCTCGGCAGAGTTGTGTAATGGCGGACTTTCTAAAAATTTAACTCCAGTAAGAGTTAAAGCACGTTTCTGAACACCAGAGAATGAACTCCAAAATACAACACAGCAAGGGGTATCCCATAACACAAAATCGTGTTAAAGTTTAAAAATAAACTCATAAAAATTAACTCTTTCACACTTTTTTGCCTAACTCCTAATTTTTCAACTCCAGAAATTTGCTGTGTATATAGGGCACAAGCTAAAATACGGCATAAATATTGCCTTAGTAAAAATATTATTAATACCTTCATATTAAAATTAATAAAGTATTGTATACTGATTTTCTTTAATATTTCATCAATTAAATGTAAGCTATGTAGAATCAACAAAATAGCTGATTAACAGATCTGAATTTGAGAGTTGAGAGAAAGACAACTAGTTTACAATGTTGGTTTGATTTTTGCCCTTTTAGTTTTTTTTGAAAATTGACAACATTTTTTAACAGTTATACACACTGGTGCAACATTACTGTCAGATTCAATAGTTGGCACATCATCATCTTACAATCTTTGTAAAGACCCGTCATTGGACTGTGCCTAGTAATTCATTTTCTTTTCGGCTTAGTCCCTTTATTAATCAGGGGTCGCCACAGTTAAATGAACCTCCAACTTATCCAGCATATGTTTTATGCAGTGGATGCCTTTCCAGCCGCAACTCAACACTGAGAACGCATTCTTGCATTCACACACATACAGTAAGGCCAATTAAGCTTACTCAGTTCACCTATAGTGCATGTCTTTCGACTGTGGGGGAAACCAGAGCACCCGGAAGCAACCTACGCAAACACAAGAAGAACATGCAAACTCCACACAGAAATGCCAACTGACCCAGCCGGGGTTCAAACCAGCAACCTTCTTGCTGTGAGACGATCGTGCTACCCACTGCGTCACTGTGACGCCCTACTTCGTCTTTCTAATTGGTCTAGGAATGTCACTAAAAATAAATGTTTTTCCTAATTTTGGGATCAGAAGGAGGGCAGTGTAAATACGGTTTTCCATTATTTTCCACAAGGCACTGCACAGTGTCTTTTTTCTTCAGAGCCATATCTATGCTGTTCCTAGTAGCATAATGTCATTATTTACTTTCTACATATTATTTGTGGGCAAGATTTAAAAGGCAACAATGTAGGCAATCTTGCTTACAACATTCTCAGTGTAAGTCATAATTGCATGCATATTTGCTTGTAAGAATTAAAATAGTGAGTTGTCTACTTTTCATTAAAGATAAAGTAGTACATATGGGAAAACAAAACAACAAATATATAATAACAGAGAAAACAAAACAAAACAAAAGAGAAAATGAAAAACAAGTAGGCTATACAATTGTCTAGATTAAATTTATGGTAGGGCTATTATGGCACATTATGGGTATGAAATATACATCTATAAATTACTTATATATATATATATATATATATATATATATATATATATATATATATATATATATATATATATTATTTTTTTTGTGTTTGGAAAGAAAAGGTTAAAAAAAAAAACTAAAGTATCTACACAGCCTAACAAAAAGCAAGGACAAATAACAAACAGGTAAAAAAAAAAGAAAAACGAATGGCTTAATGACCAAAATTTTAGAATAACGAGAAAATTGATTTCTGAAACTTACATTATGTTTCATAATACTACTTCTTATATGTCAAAAGATGAAGAAAAGTTTGTTTTCACAGTCAGAGAAAGTTTCATTTTTGAATGAATTCTCTCTTAAAGCCTTATGCCTTTCCTGACAGGCTGATGAGAAACCTTCTATGTTACAATTTCCCAAAGCTTGTGCGCATTTTAAACAAGAATTTTGCTTCATTTATTTATGTTTTTCTTCACTGTATGACAGAAATGTTCTAAATAATGCCCTGAAGAGTAGGATGCGAAGCAAGCAACATATTTACATCGAGCAGCCAGGTGGCGCCAACTCAACTTAAGTCGTTTAAAACACATCAGAAGAACAGAAGAAAATGTCCCCGGAAATATTTCCCTTTTTTAATGTACGATGAATAAAAGCTGTGCGTTTATGTATTATCATAATTCTATGCTTTAATAAGTAAACGAACTATTTAGCATGGACATCTCCTCTGATGAATCTGACGACTGGTTTATGGAGTCTCTAAACGCGTGAGTCTGACAGCAGTAAACTTGCATTTGGTCACCCAATGTTAACATATTGGCTGTGTTTCAACATTCATAGTGTTTCCTTCATATAAATATTTGTTGTTTCAACAGTAATGTTTTTCCTACCTTAGCAGCATTTTGGGCACCAGTAACTCGGTTAATTTTTTATTTCAGATACAGAGACCTGCATCTGTTTCAACTCGAGCATCCGACAAAAGTAATTGAGTGGATGGGTGACAAAAGTAAAGCATCTCTGAAGATCATTAAAATAAAATTGAATAAAATTTTAATCAAAAAAAGAAAAGAAAAAAATTATAAAGGCATTTATTCCCCCTCTTTT